TTCCGTAGCACGAAACTCATAAATTTAGGTAACTCTTGCGCTAGGCACCAAAAGTTAAATAGTGCATTTGAGCTCCCACCAGTAGCTTAGATGTCCACCCTGAGACAACTTAGTAAATTCACAGTTTTTCATAGATCGTTACCATGAAGCGCCTGGTCATCAACTCGCGTATTATTTCGGAAGTATTATGCCTGGATATACGGAGACTGTTTGCTTCAGAATTACAAAGATTACGTAGCAAACATAAAAGTTTATGGTACGATAACGCGCAAGGTCATTCGTTGATGCACAACGAGGTTTAAAGTGCTTATGGACTGTTCAACCACTCATGTGTATGTGTAAAACTTTAAAGTGTCAAATGGCCGCTCATGTTATTTGACCACTTGACTGAAAACCTCACGCTTCTCTATTTGAGGACAACGTAGTAGCTACTCCTTCAATGTTACAACTACTGAGCAAACGAGTGAGCGAAACAGGAAGAAATCCAATTGGTCATGATACTTGACAGCGTTCGTCCTATTGGATAAAATGGTCAGAGAGAAAACACGTGATAGCTGTAATAAATGATACGTGAACAAAAAATCTATTAGAACAGGATCGTGATGGTCAGTAATAAACAAAATTAGAAGCACGTTCATATAGCGTTTTCTGCTACACGAATATTTAGAGAATCAGCGGCCTGCTTAATCCAAGTGACTGAAACTTGATCTGAGTCTAGATCCGGATATCCGGCAAGGCGTACAGAAAACGTCTATTGCAGTTTTGGTGGTTGGGTCTAGAAAGGAATTCCTGAAGGAGCATTTTGATAGGAGCCGTCACTTAAATTTACACCAAGACATTTTAATCTTTCCTATCCAGAAGATAGTTTGACTTTGTGCTTGGCTGTTGTACTCTCGTAGTTGAGCTTTTTCCTGAATATATCAGAGTGAATATCTACTGACCCCAGTACACTAAATTACGCTTTGTAACCCATTATTTGAGGGTTAAAAATGATTGAGACGGCAGTTAGATTAATTAACAGTGCATCTAGACGCAGCTTGTTGGCTTTAGTTTGAATATAAAGGGAAAAATATCCACCTAAATTCCATGCGGGACAAATTTTAACATTCGTGATCTATTGCTTCTTATCACGGCAAAAGGCTGAGGTCCAATAAATGTTTAAGAAGCACCGTTCACCCGTCATCAACCTCACAAAGCATGAGTCTAAATAAAGAACCAGTCGTGACATCCCTTGACGCCTGTTTTACTAGTTATCACCAGAAGCATAAGGCGTGACAAAAACACTTACGACTTTTTTGTGTGCTTCTGAATATTTCTCATTATAAACAACTGCTCGTCAATGGCGGAGCAGTAAACCGGTACATACTGACTGTCACTTTGATTAGTCGGCTATAGTATGCGCTGGTCACTACTTCGTGTATTTTGTTGACAAACTGTGGAATGATGTCGAAGAATCACGCGAATGTCATCTGCATAACTATCCATACATAATCAGGACACAGTGGACAGTGGCTTCACCGTTTTGCATGCGGGGTATGCTGTGGCCCGCAAATTACAGTTTGAAAGAATATTTCATTTACCTAAACCAAGAAAAATCCAGTACACAAGGAACTGGCGTTTGTGGTTAATCGTTCCATTTTGGAATATCGACCACAGATATTTTAGTTTCTTTGCGCTCACGACGGAGCTAAAGCACGAAAGTCTACAAATGGCCCCTGCCGTGTATAGGACGACAGGATACAGGTCCAATTCGGTTTTTGAATCATAAAGCTGGTTATCCCTTCGGTCCACGTTTTACTAAAGTTCTACCATGCACTTTCTGATTATGGTCTTTGAACCATATCCCACTTCGATCAGGTCTTGAAAAACAGACTTTCTTCCAGCCACCTAATTACATTTTTCACATCGTTGAAAGACTAAATTTTACGTGTGCGGTGAAGATGTACCGATGTAGCTGATCAGCTGACGAAAGCCATTAATTGAACGTTTCCAGATATTCTCGCTATGTCAGCTGCTCAATAGTGTGAATGGACGGTAAACTTCCGATTTAGGCTACGACGAGGTGCACAAAACTACACAAATAAATAAAGCTATGACTCTGATTTACCAACAATACACCAAATCAATCAGCTCGAAAACTTGGCAGTACACTAGTGACAGATGTTTTCTCCACTTTGCGAACTGCCTAATCGGTTTTCGCCATCACGTGACCAAATGCGCCATTCCTGCATAAATCCTACAGCACATTCGTTCCTTTGTGAACATTGCTGAACACTTACTGCTGTCGTATCTGACAGGCCGAAAACAGAAAGGACGAAAAATAAGTATTCACTTATTTTCAGTAAAGACCGCCCAAAGTAGCCCATTGTGAAGAACAATAAAAACTCACGTTATAGGAACACTACTGTACGGTGTGGTGATCGTCAGCCTGGGATTCACAAAAGAAGCTCATATCCGGCTGTATCAAGGGCGAAAACGTTCACTTTTCGCCACTCGGTGCATGACCGCGTGATGCGGATTTTTATGATTTAAGAAAAAACACTTGGTATTCCGTCTAAGCGCGAATTAATCGCACTGCTGGTGGGCCAATCTTGCCTGAACGGTTAAATGTCCAAACAACTAACCTGAAAGTCGCAGTTTGGATGCTTCTTGAGATCTGGTGAGATACATGCTGCTGATAGTTCTCGGTTGGAATGAGACAGCTGTACAGCGCTTCTCAGCCATTCAGCTAAACTGGCTTTACTCAAAGGACGAGCGCTCCATCGAAGAATGTTCATCTTAACGAACGTGTAAGCAGGTGACTTGCGCTAATTGTTCCCATATTCCCGTTTCTGTATGAGTGTTTGAATTACAGATAAGCCCAGCCGACTGTACGCAGGCTGCACCATTTTTCTTTGAGAAAATCGAAACTGTTACATGAAATCTGGTGAAATAGCTCTTTCGTTAATAAATCAGAAGGTTTATCTGCGGAGTCGTATCGGTTGACATCACAGTCCAGGTTTGTGATGTGGTTACAAGTCCGAGTTTCAGACTGGAACAAAATTGATCATAGGTTGCTAAATGTGGGTCTCAGATGAGTCATAAACTCGCCAGACTGAGTAATCTGCAGACTAATTATTCCGCTGTATTTTACTGGACTTTGCCCGAACTGTTACCCATAAAAAGCAAAACGCCGCGTTGATTTTCAGTAAAGCTGCCGGTAGTGAACAGTGGTCGGTTAGTAAAATACATCTATTTTCGTGATCAGCATCATTCCAACTGTTGCATCTCGATAATGTTTAAAGAGGTAAATCGCAGGGTTTATCGACATCTGCCTTGTTTCATTTGCTTGCTTGAATGAAGTAATGTACTCAGTCGAACCTGGAATATGTACCCTGTTGAACTGTCGGTTATAACACAATACAAATCATTACATCATCATATAAGTATGACAGGATATGTAAGTAATGTGCGATTATCAAATGACGACCTACGTGAGTGCGCAGCTGATGGTCACCAAAATTGGTTTCTATGTCAGGAGACGGAACGATAGTACGTGCCTATTGTTAAAAATCTTGGATACTCGAAGGAGACATCTTCCATTAAACAGCGTTGTCTTAGGATATCAGGCAGATTTCTTCTAGTTTACCCGTCGGCATTGTGAAAGTAAAATTTGATGAGCTCAAGTTCCATGAATTTCGGCCGTCTACATAACCTTCTCTTTGAGCGCCCTGCTTATGTATATCCAAATTTAGTCACAGCATTCTTAATATATAGCCCATTTAGCCTTGTCCATTAGTGTCCTTCATTCAGCTCTCCTAGCTGTCAAATGATTTAGACCGCGTGAAAGCTTTTCAGACGACCTTTGGTGCCCATACACAAATTCAACCTGACTGTCTTCCATCATCATATAAATATCGCAGGATATGTAAGTAATGTGCGATTGTCAAATGACGACCTACGTGAGTGCGCAGCTGATGGTCACCAAAATTGGTTTCTATGTCAGGAGACGGAACGATAGTACGTGCCTATTGTTAAAAATCTTGGATACTCGAAGGAGACATCTTCCATTAAACAGCGCTGTCTTAGGATAACAGGCAGATTTCTTCTAGTTTACCCGTCGGCATTGTGAAAGTAAAATTTGATGAGCTCAAGTTCCATGAATTTCGGCCGTCTACATAACCTTCTCTTTGAGCGCCCTGCTTATGTATATCCAAATTTAGTCACAGCATTCTTAATATATAGCCCATTTAGCCTTGTCCATTAGTGTCCTTCATTCAGCTCTCCTAGCTGTCAAATGATTTAGACCGCGTGAAAGCTTTTCAGACGACCTTTGGTGCCCATACACAAATTCAACCTGACTGTCTTCCTCTGTCCTGATAGCATGTTCAAAACTTGTCTTGGAAATATAAAAACAGAAAGATACATGTGTATGAAACAGGGGATTATATAGATTCTCTTTGAAAACATTGTGGTCTATGGAACCAAACTGAATCCCTTGTTTGTGGTGCTTTTAAGGCACGAGAACTCCAGCTGAGTTCCCGTTGAGTCTCCCAAAAAACCAAATTCGTTTGCAAATAAGTGTATTCCGCTAATCTCGTGCATAAGGTTAACGGAAACTCGGGAGCTGCTCCAACCTGATGAGCCCCAATAAGGCCAGAACCGGTCATGTGCCGCTGAAGAACTTCCAGTAAACTTATGACTACTGTACTACGTCCATACAATGCGTCATGGATTTTTAGGGTCAACGAATTAAGCCGCTAAGGCGAAGGCTAAGTCCGCCGGTCATTTGGATGACTGACTGACTGACCCATGTAAGTGGTTTAATAACTGATAAGATTGGAACTTCTAGAATACAAAATCCTTAGCGCGGTTTCATGCTTCCTATGTGGCGAACCAAAGTAAGCCATCTAGCGTACTTTTGTTCAAAGCTATCCAATACTATGTACAACACACAATTAAAACAAACACTGATGAGACAAGTATGTATGTATTGCACATAATCGAGTAAATGAATCTGTAATTATCTCTCTACGTAGCTCTTCGTACAGACGGAACTGTAGAGTGTGGGAATGATTGAAAACGAAACTGAGTTAAATAAGCATTTGAAGGATTAGAAATCACTTGTCAAAGAACAAAACAGGTTATTGGTGATCTTAGGTACAGTGAATTTGATTGGTGCACTGGTAGGCGTGGTGCGTGCTTGTGAAATATGTATAAGTATATAGAGGATAACTCTGTCAATCTGTAAGAAGACATCATGGTATGGTGGTAAGTGGACTGTTGTAGATCATAGAAACGAAAATAAGAAGGACAGACTCGGTACATAATCGAATGTGTTCGAACGATGACTCAATCTGATGCTTTAACATTAAAAGCAAGTAGTCAACGAGGAAAAGAACGTTGCCATTTGCTAGTGAGTAGAATATTCATAAATGCATCAAAGACAACGGAATTGGAGAGACAAGAATACACACGCATACAATTAAGTCAACTGAATCAATCTATCGAAGAAGAAAAAAGTCGATACAACAACGACAAACTAAGCAAAGACATTGAAATCACTGTGTGAAGTGTCTGTGAGGGTACCGACGCAGTGTTTCCCGATGTGTGACGCAAATAAGAGGGGATATTCAACATACGCCCGTTTGTTCCAGATGTTGATGAGGTTCTAAAAATCACACGTTGTGCCTCCGAAAACCCAACGGAATTTTGCCCAGCCAATTCCAGTTCGTAAGCTTTGTCCGGCTGAAGTTTGTCCACTCGATATTGACAGATGGGCTTTGTTCCCATCTCTTCGTTTTCTTTAGTGCAGGTGGGATTCACCGGTGTGTACTCTACCCAGTCGCCAATTGGCTTACCAGTTATTTCACCTGATTACAAGGGTTTGATTGACAAAGTAGGAACAGCGATTAGGATAGGGGATAACAAAACTATCTGCTTCATATAATCCCCCCGGTTGGGCGGGCAGGTTTGAAAATGTGCAATAACAGCCACTCATACAACTGTGCGTACAACAGGATGGTCTGCGACGATAAAAATTTTCTATATGGAACAGGGTAACGGAAAATCCTCATTGGAGACTACGTTCTTGTTGGGATATAATATCGGTACGGAACCCTCATCAATGTGTTCTATGAGTGTTTCTCGTATAGTTTGCCACCAAATACCCTAATGTTCTTTTACCGGTCTCGTTTGTATGATAAAGATACAAGCTGTTGATGAATAAGACAAAAAGAACGGCTTGATAAGGAGGAAGCAGTCTTACGAATGAGGTTGAGTTTTGACCACGGTGCAGAACATGAATACTTACGATAGACATGCAGTGCCTTCATTAAATTGTAGAACCGATATGTTAGATTCTCGAGCCACTACTGGAGTCGATACATATGGGCTTTGGTGCCAAGTCCAAAAAGCATGAGAGTCAAGTCTTGGAGAAAACCAAGTAAAAACCGGTCACGACACATGAACTGAATAGTATTCACCTACACAACCACAGAATGTATCAAAAGTCCACGTGTTTGTTCAGCAGTCCGGAAACAAATGCAACAGAGTGTACGTTCCATACAACGGCTGTGGGAACCACCACATATTCACATTGAGGTACTGTTTTACTCAACACCGGATTTTTCAGGTGGGTTGTCGGAGAGTTTCCAGCAAGCTTAAGAGCAGCGTATCATGTGTGTACCGCGATATCTATTGTATGATATCGTATGATATCGTATCAACTGAATAATGAGGCGGCCCCCGTGCAGCACATACAGTTGAAGAAGAACGATATAAAAGATGGATTCAGCTGGGTTCCAAGCGAGGCCCCCGTGGAGGTCAATATGGTATGCGGATGAGCGTATTGGTCTAGTATGCTTTCTATTTTGAACCGGAAGATCTACCCTGCCAGTAAATCGGACAGTACACTAACTGAACAGGCTTGACAGTAGTCGACGATGATAATTTGGTAAACCGTCCTTTCGGGAAGACTTTAAATTGAAGGCAGAGACTAGGAAGTCGTGGAAGCTGAACTGTCAGGAGCAAAACGCTCACAGACTGACTAACAATTAGCACGGTGTAAGAAACTTTTTGAGGATATCTGATAACATTCAAGAGTTGCTTTTCATAAATGTCAGTAGTATTTTTGTTGACATGCAGTGAATCAACATTTCGGTGTAGGGTAGAATGAAAAGCACCATATTCCATGCTTTTCATCAGAGGGTAGTGAAACATCCATCTACGCAAGGCACCAGTACCAAAGCGTTTGCAAGTTGGCATTTTGTTGACACTGCATCTTTCTGGAGAAACGGGCATGGGACAAAACTTACCCATTGAATAATCGACCTCAACCGGTCGTACATTGATCTTGTACTGGTCTATTTCCTGGCCACTATTTCCAGGCAGTTCCCAATGAACATTGTATGCGGTAGGTTCGATATATTCCTGTGCCGTTAGCATTTTTATAGCCGGTGTGGATAGCCGATTTGTTGTGACCTTATTAAGAAGGTAGAAGAATGATATATTTCCGTTTAGATAGGAAATGTCTTAAATACTGACATGGGTTTTTTCATACGACGCCATGTGGTGTCAATAAGAACAGAGTGTAATCACAAAGCCGATTTCCACCACACCGAACAAAGTCACGTGATGCTCTTGCGGTTTGCTGAAAAATGTGGGGAAACAGAATTTCCATTTATGAACTATTTTTAACCATGTGAATTCAGAACTGTCTGGTGTGTTCGCCTGTTCACTTTCCCTCGGGTTCACTACACACTGTTTCTCCTTAGTGTTGTTGGTCACTGTATAATATTTCTTTTCAAGATAAGATTGCTGTTTTTTACCATTTTAAAATTGCGGTACCTTTGTATTATAAAATGAATGAATCAGTTGAGTCCTACTTGACACATGGAGGAATGTTCGATTCACACATTTTGACGGTGATTATGGAATTGTTATTTACGATGGGGACACTGGCCCATCAGTTCAAAGGATGGTTGAATTGCTCCATTTTTGAAGGCAAGGGGCATCAAATCTAAATTTACCTCTCTTTTAGTAACGTTTTCAAGCCTGGTTATCACTTGAAACAAAGGGAGGTCTCAGGGCCAACAGGATTTACATGTCGCATGTTCTTTGCACCCGATAAACAATGGATAATTTTGGAAGTCATATTGATGTCTAAAAGGTTTCGGCTTTCAATGGATCATCCGCAAAACTAGGGTAACACGCTGGTGAATTGCAGCTGACCGGTTCTCACGTACTTTTGTCTCCAGCTATCTAAGTTAATCTTTCGCCACAGTGTGTTATTTTTGTCAAGCTCAAATAATAATTAATATATATAATATGTCATATCCTTGGAGCGCAAAGTGAGCAACGTAAACCTGCGTCTTGGTGATTGCTACGAAATTTTGAAATTTAAATAAAGTCTAGTTAAACTCAGCACCTGTCAAACCGATGGGCACTGAAGTTTATCGTGCTTACCGTGTTTACACTAGCTAAAAAATCCATTGGGTAACTAAGCAAGTTGCCGTTCATCACATTTTGTTGAGCGACTTGTCGGACAAATGGTTCGCACATAGTAGGCGTATGTTTCTCGTGACCCATTCACGCTAGGGACTATGACGTTTCAACAGACGTGTATCCGAACAATTTTCTCCGGCTTTGGAAGGCTCTGAAACTCCGACGAACTGTTCAGACAATGTCGCCTTAAAGGCTAGCCATGTCAGCTTTGGGCTAGTTTTGGACCAGAGAGATGAGTTCCTAACTGATGAACTACAAAGGTAATGAGACCGCCCATGAACTGTCAAAGGGCGTTCTGCAACCTTATGTGTTATATGTCCTGTAAAAAGTTAAATAGAGTTTCGACACCGTTTGGACACTAGTTGAACTACGTTCAGTTACGAAGCAAAGCAAAATATCTACTACCTACCTCCAAGTAAGTATTTGGTCCTCTTCCCGCTGGTGACACTGCCGACAGCGCGAATCGATAGTAATAACCAGGGATCAGATGTGGCAACCGGAGGAGACGCCTACCAGGCAAGTAAGCAAAAGGTCCGTAGAAGGCACCACGAGGATGTGTTTGTATGCGCAGCTCATAGTGCGTCAGGGGTAGACCACCTGTGTCTTTCGGAGGTTCAACGCACAGTTCGATCATTTTTGCTTCCACCTTATTTAATCCCGGGAAACAACATGTAAAGATAGCTGATCAAAATCAAACGCGAATTAATTTATAATCATTGGCGTACAGTTCGCTTCATAATGTAACGTCAAATGATGCAAAGAACGCGCCTGCAGAAAGAAACGACTAAAAATATCCGACCTCCATTTATATTTCAAAGCTGGCTCTTGACTGATAGATGAAAGACTGTAACAGCATCATCAAGTTTGATGTGATCGGTCTAAACAAAAGCGCACGGAGAAAGTGCGCTTTTCGAATACAGACTTCTGTTTCCTTTATTCATGTTTTAAACATCCGGATCTTCAGCTAATATGTCATAATTAATGCGCCAAATTTTATTAGTCCTTCGTACCAAGCACTGTCTGTTGTCTCCAACAGACTTTTGTTGGCATTTCCATCATATTTTCTTCAGTCGCAAATTCAGAAGCACCGCACCAACCTCTGCGTGGATCTTGATGGAAGAAGTGAAATCCTGGGTCAAGTAGTGTGTCGTGTCACTCATAAAAAGATGAAGAGGATGGGATTTTCCGGCAGTGTCCTAGTTAGATGGGATAACTTAAGTGGGATATATTACCCACTACCAATAGAGATATTGGACTGTCTCGACCTTGACGTTATTGCCACTAAAACGCCTTTTCCTCTGCTTTTTCTTCGGGAAGGGTTTCATAATTTGTGACGCTTTCGCCCCATCACATCCATTCACTATCTGAGTGATTGCAATTTTCAGAAATGCGTCAGATCAGGTTGGAACCCCTGCTGAGTTCAGACCGCCAACGTGCGGTCAAAAACCAGTTTTCTCCTCCATCAGTGTGAGTTAGGCATGTTTGAATCAGTCAGCATGAACTGGTGGTATGGTTCGCCAAAGTTTGGCTTGTGTTCGCACAGCATCTGGTTCACAAAATCGCTGTTAGTAAGATGTACTAGGTTTCCAGTGTGGCTCAATGCACATCAGTACAAGTGTCACATGAATGAGGTATTCGGGGAACACGTTTCCCTCCTCCATTAACTACTCTATAAGAACTAGTGCATCCAGTAGTGTAGGTAGATTTAACATGTGAACAGAAACTCCCCACAGTACGTTTTTGAGTAAGCAGTCACAGTTAACTCAAGGTGATCTCACAGTAACTCGATGCATCATACCGCTCGTTGCCAAAACGAAGTGGCGACACATAAATAATTGCCGTTCTTTTTAACTGTGAGAAAGCAGGCGGATATTTAAACTGATACCCATTGCCGCCGAAACGAACGAAAACAGAGGCGAGGACTCTCAACGAAATGTACACTCATTTGTATGTGTAGATGCGGTTGGGCAAATGCGGAATCAATACATCTGAACGCGGACAGTTTGGCGTCTTGTCGAAAACACACTCGAGCTAATCAAGTAATTTCGGTAGATTGACAGTTGGATAGACGAAACATGGACCAGTATATCACGTGACTGACCCCGCTACGTTCATCAATAAGGGCTAAACATCCTGTTTCTGCTCAATCTCACGATCGACTACGTCTCATGAAAAACCCAATTATAGTCACCCTAACCAAGGGAATTTTTCTGTCAAACGCCAGTGATCATCAAACAAGGATGTACATAAGTGGTTTTTCGGTGTCATATACGGGATTTCTAGTTACCATTTCCACAAGCGACGAAGTGCTAGTGCATTGAGGAGATTCGATTCGTCCAGCCGCCATTAATCTTCCAAGGCGATTAGGATGGATTACCGTCTATTCTTAGCGCAAAGTCACTTCGTTGCCTTCTTGATACACGTAAAATCAATTTGTAGGTAACTTGGACAATTTTCCACCATTCGCTACAAATCAATCTCTTGTGATGCACCTGAAAGCAAAGTAATCAGTATGATTCTTAATGCGCGAGTATACTGTCTAATTGTCAGTTTTCTCAGAACTGGTGCATTTCGTCGCAAGAGGGCTTACCCGGCATGTAAGTGAGCCCCAACCCAGTAGGAATCACCCCAAGCAAAAATAGGATATTCACTCCGACTGTTGACCGTACAGACGTTTTCTTTATAACTTTTTTCCCAGGCCATTAACGCTAGACTTAAGAAAAACGGCAACCATTCAAGTCCATGGTGGTGTCGTTTCCACTGTCTAGCAATCATTCATTCGCTCAGGAGGAGTACCAGTCAAGCTATCTACTACTTGATCTTTGATGAAGTCGGCGAATTAAGCGCTTCTACTGACAAGGACAAAAGATGGTCGGGTGCGTTTCTGCAAACCACTCCAGACACTTAATTATAAATCTAAAAAGCCTAGTGGAGATGCGCCCAGAGCAAACCGTACGAATACAAATTCATCCGCCTGTTCATTTGTGATGATGCAGTTTCGCTCAGCGGATGTCGACGGCAGCACACTTGCCGCACATGTCGACCATTACTGATTCGAATCCCAGCACGGCCAAGCATAAGCACTGAAATGAGGATAAGCTTGGTTTCCACTGGATGTAGAATGGGCACAATATTCGTGCTGTCACACAAGACAAATCGCTCAGTCGAGTGAAACCGCATGGAAATTCCCGTTTTTTTCAATTTGTTGTCCAAAGGTCCAAGAGGGCACAGTATTCAATATCCTTATTCTCATTGATGATATGTGATGAACTGAATTGTCGTGGCTGAAATGCCCATCTGAATATGGCCATCCCAAGGCTGTAGCGTTTATCGGTGTTAAAATTGGGCGATTTAGTGAAAAAAGATAACGAAGTGAGAAGCGTTGAAGATAAGAAGAGTGAAATATGTTTGCTGAACCTAAAACCTTTACCGATAACTCGTCTTTACAAAGCTGGGGCAGCTATGATGGGCGTTCATCGAGGCTCTTGACCATTCCTGCACATCAGTACATCGACAAACAGACGTTAGTCTGTTTATGTGATTGCCAACCTTCTGTAGGCAACCGAATTGGTGTAATGTTTCACCATGCGGGGTGTTGCGTTGGTGACGAAACGTTTGGAAACAACACGCTCGAATGTCACGACCAAATATCATTTACTCAACCTGAATTCTTGACTTTACCCTCAAAAGGAGACACTAAAAAACGTTGGTTACAGTCATTTCTACTCGGTGTTTTTGGATACGATTCGTTACAGTACATCTACGAGCTTATATCTCAACCACACCTGTGGGGGCAAACGAAAGGGTCCTTTCATCACCTGCAACCTACGCCTTTGGAAGTGTTCGATATGCACTTTATCAAAACCCGTTTTCCAAGAGGGAAATAAATAATGCATCACATAGTCCAGAAATGTTTGGGTCTTCATAAGACTACTGACATTCCGCTTACCAGACAGAAGCATGACCAGCTAAGCAAGCACTTGGCGTGTCTATCCACTCACATAATGCCGGATTAAAATATTTCACTCAAAATTCACTACCTTTTTCTCCACCCCTAAACAGTGGCAGAACAGGATTGCATGTTGAAAAAGGAGAAATCGTGGTGTTTTGTCCCAGTCGATGTGTTACTTTGATAGCAAAATATGTAAATAGCAACAGAAGCAAAAAGGTTGGCGATTTCGGGGGAAATGGAATGTTGACATCAGTGAAAATATTGCTTAATTGAAAACAACTCGAGGCACCATATGCATGTGAAGATCTGACTACCCTGGTTACCGAACTTAACAAATGTTGCATGTCCTGGATCCTGTTCTACACGCAAGATGATAGATAGATGATAGATAGATAGATAGATAGATAGATAGATTGATTGATTGATTGATTGATTGATTGATTGATTGATTGATTGATTGATTGATTGATTGATTGATTGATTGATTGATTGATTGATTGATTGATTGATTGATTGATTGATTGATTGATTGATTGATTGATTGATTGATTGATTGATTGATTGATTGATTGATTGATTGATTGATTGATTGATTGATTGATTGATTGATTGATTGATTGATTGATTGATTGATTGATTGATTGATTGATTGATTGATTGATTGATTGATTGATTGATTGATTGATTGATTGATTGATTGATTGATTGATTGATTGATTGATTGATTGATTGATTGATTGATTGATTGATTGATTGATTGATTGATTGATTGATTGATTGATTGATTGATTGATTGATTGATTGATTGATTGATTGATTGATTGATTGATTGATTGATTGATTGATTGATTGATTGATTGATTGATTGATTGATTGATTGATTGATTGATTGATTGATTGATTGATTGATTGATTGATTGATTGATTGATTGATTGATTGATTGATTGATTGATTGATTGATTGATTGATTGATTGATTGATTGATTGATTGATTGATTGATTGATTGATTGATTGATTGATTGATTGATTGATTGATTGATTGATTGATTGATTGATTGATTGATTGATTGATTGATTGATTGATTGATTGATTGATTGATTGATTGATTGATTGATTGATTGATTGATTGATTGATTGATTGATTGATTGATTGATTGATTGATTGATTGATTGATTGATTGATTGATTGATTGATTGATTGATCGATCGATCGATGAGTGTACACCTTCAGAGATTATCTAACGAAAGGCCTCCTCCAGGCTTGAACTCACAGCGAACGCTGAAATGAGTTTGACACAAAGAAGCTGTTCCCACAGCTTCCTCCTACCCTAGAATGGTGGCTGGAACTTTTATATGCTGTTTACTGATCAAGCCAGCATTCTCACAAGTGAATCGTCCTGCCACTTGCGACCCTGAGACGCTCCCGGAAGTAAACATCTTACGTTCGCACACATGCAGTCATGTATGGTAAAGCCGTTGAAGCCCACAGTAATCAAGGGGTAGCTTTGTACTTGGGAAATGTTGGCTCTGGATGCACAAAAACGATTCCATTCTACACTAACTCCGCTCATGAGTATCATCACAGACAATGAAATTAAGAATCCCGACCATTCTTTCTTACGAAAGGTTTCAAAATTTCTGAACAAACGTATGCAACATACACCATGCTACTGTACAAATCTTTGTAGCCTGTCCATACTCTATCGCTCTAGCAGGTCTTCCGTAACTCAGAGGACCAATCGTCCCAAAATGTATTCTCTCATATCTACGAAACATCGTGTTAATTTTTTACTGTGTTATATTCATTTATATTCAAATGTATCCGTGCTCCGTTACATTGCTACCTGAAGCTATTGCAGCAATTTTCGGATGGAAGGTTCTTCACAATATTTCGTTTTGTGTGACCATGGTTGACAAATTTTACATTCATATAAAAAGTCGCGTATTTCGGAAGATGACTCTCCTAATGCTTAGACAATGTTTATGTTCTTGTTCTTCCCACATTGTCCCAAAGATGACTAGGGTTGTTTTCTGTTGGCTGACACTCTTTAAAATTACGTTAGACAAAAATTCGAAAATACAACTGATTTAGAGTAAACAACATAGTGTTGAAGAACTTCCTTCTAATGGTTAAAAGAAGATTCATCTTTTCGATGAAAACTCCCGAACCCGAGTACTGACTAGATATACATCCCAATCAATCGATGGGCTTTGAACTGCAACATTGTTTTTCAGGTAGATTTTCATCAGTCTTTTGTGCCTCGACTGCAATCAACATATTCTTCCACCTAATTTGAACTAACCCGAATTGCCTCAAAGTCGGATTTGATACATTTCACGAAGTTATTCTGTCTTCTCATATCAAGCCCAAAACTAGGAAGATCGCATCGGTTTGGAACGTTATGTTGTAGCAATTAGAGGCAGCGCCGGATTTGCTAGACCCATGAGTTAAATTTAGAAATTTATGTTTTTCCAGTGAGTACCATGACTATCTAGACCAAAAATAAATCACAAACCACTCACCAAATGGCTGCGGTTTATCTAGCCCAACAACGGAAATGCAACAGAATTTTAGTTCAGATCATTTCGGTACTTGTAAGTACAAGGGTTGTCCTGTTACTCAAGGACCGGTAAACTTTCCAACAATTGGCAACTTTTGTCTAACTGGTCAAGCTAACAGGGTAGACCATTTTGCTTGGTCACGCAGACGGTTGTGCCCGAAAATACGGTGAAACAATAATATTAATCAGAACCGGGAGGTCCAAACGGATGAAGTAATAAAAACAAATCATCACTTCACATCAGTCAATACTGAGCTGATAATGAACACAAATTTTCGTACGACATCAGTCGGCGTTTTCAGCCCCAGCGGTGTCGTCTTGAAATCCTTTGGACGGGAGTTCTTCAGTGGGGATCTGGAAACGACTTCTATTCATCAACAATTTTGATCCATACAAATTCAAACTACCCAGGAAATATAACGAACAAACCTACCTGGAAGAATCACCTTCATGCTTAAAATAACAGCAAATGGTGAATCGGAACACAGACTAACAACGGCTACAAAAACGTTTCCGTCAAGCCAAGGCAACTCTGTTTTCAAATCACTTACCTTACATGCCCTCAGCGCTGGTCTGCTTGGATGAGTGGCCATTTTCAGTCGTAAGTGAGCCATCCCGGAACCCAAACGATTTGTAGCAGTGCAGGTGTAGGTTCCAAATAGGCCAATATTCCAGTATCCAGCAGCAATTGTCAACTCACTGACAGATAATTCACCGTCTTGGTAGTCCACCTTTTGATAGCTGCCGATAAAATAAATCACACATATGTCACATCCAAAAGATTGAGAACCGATTTGTCGACCAGTCCCAAGATTTTTTCCACTTTCTAGATACCCCTTGGTCTTAAATTAGGGGAGTTGTGCTTTGAAAGTGATTATTAACTCGCTAACTAAGTGTTTGCTCCGAGAAATATCTCGTCTTGATCCAGACAAGCCTCGTTTCCTCTCGCGCCAGTATTAGCTGTTAGCTTATCGTGCGCAGTTATCAGAACATTAGGACCAGAAGGCGTTTCGTGATTACAAATATTCTACTGGTGCAATGTTATTTACTAATCGGTCTAAAATTGTTTCTCAGTTCGGCTTGGATGTTCCATATAGCACCTGATGTATAACATGTCGAGAAGGAAGATAAGTATGGATGTTCCTCGGATGGAGTTGAATGATATCGTATCTGGAAATGTCTGAAGAAACTCATCAAATTAATTCTTTCCTGTAGATTGTCCTCTTCTTAGATAGGAGGGGGTCAATGAATAAAACATTCAGTTGATCAACAAAATACCTTCCTTTCTAATCCATGACCTCTATAGGCGAATAAGTGAACATAAGAAAACGATTGGTCTGCCGCACTTGTGTGGGATTGAATTTGGTCTCCTTATTTTTGCTTACGTCAAGTTTTAGCAAGGCCCCAGCCATTTTTTGCTGTCATCGGTAACGTTAGTAACCATATGAAAGTTAAAAAACATGTCTGGATACCCAGCCACCGAGTCTGGTATAAAGTGGCTACATACCCTTTTGGGCCATCCGGGTTGCCCAGTGAAACATCTGGACCAGTCTCTGGTCCGGTCCATACCCATTCTGGCGGAGGTTGGCCTGTAGCTTGACAGCTTAGCTTGGACGGCTGATGAGACAAACCGTATACCAGACCTTTGTTCTTCTCTTGCGGCAGATCGTCAGCATCTGTCATGGTGAGTACGTTTCTGGGTTCTACATCAGTGGGAGGAAACCATACAGTTAAACGTCCAGGTCCCTCGTGAGCGGTCGGAGCGATGGCTCGCCAGTGTGGTCCGGATAACGCCTCGCATGCATAGAAAGCGTTGTCTTCCGGACGTAGATCTGTAAAGTTGGGAAACCAGTGAGAATCCTCGTAAACACTTCACTTTTCTTTTGGGTACTTTTCACTCAAAACACGATATTCAAGCAACTTCTAGAGGAAATCATCACAAGTTTGTCCGTTCTGAGCACCCTAGAACCTTCTCAGCTAATCTAGCTCGGTAATTGAAATTTCCCAAGACTTTCGTGAATGCATAAGCCCACTGTCTCAGTTGCGTTCAGAAGAGAATCGGTTTTATCAACTTATTCTCTGTTTTGAGCTTGTTAGTTCAACTTATTGGAACAATACAGTTGATTTTATGCAGTGTTGTGATTCCATCGGATCAAGAATTTAAACCTTTGAAGGACAGGTTTTCTCTTTTCCTTTGACGGACGATCTGCTCTTTCGCCAATAATACGTAGCTTTGTCCAGGCACTCGGGAGGAATGCAACATATTATTATGTGGAAGTCAACAGCAGATTCTAAAAATTAGTTTTTGTAAGATACATGCTGTGTAAATTCGTTGACTGTGCATGATTACAGGAAGTTAAATCAACTTAAGTGGTCTTTCGTGGTCCAAGCCGTCGTTTGATTACCCCAGAAAAGTTAATTCGCAATGATTAGGCCTCCAAAAGTATTTCTTCTCGTGTGCTTGACTCGTCACTGTCACTTAAGCATTCGCTTCAAAATAAGAAAGAGGGACGGTTGGTGGTACCACATCCAGAAGCATTGTAACACATGACGTAAAGCCAGTGACTGCAGGATAAAATGTGCCATAACCTGCCCAAGTGCGAATTAATTATACTACTGACTTGGTGACTTGTCAGACTCGCACTGTGATTAGTTTAGACAAGGATGAAACAACTACACAGCTGTTCTCGTCTTTTCAACGTAGACTTTCTTCCGTTCCAAGATGCAACCTCTTGAAATAGACCATTTTCCAGACAAACTATTGCAACGGCTGCCACCACACAGGAATTTCCGTAGTTGTGGGAAAAAATATCGCGTACGTAATGGGTGTGTCCAAGTTGTTGCTATTATATGGTTTAATTCTTCGGGGTGTAAACTGTGTATATCAGTGCCGTTGTTTGCAAATTCATGAGGAAGAAAGTAGGTTCTACTCAATATAGGTAGTGAGCCTACCACAAATCAACATTTACTGTGGTGCTCCTTGCCGATGCTGTGAGGATGCTTGAAGAGTTTACTTGGAATTTCTTCCCGCCAGGAAAGTCATTCTCTGTCCAAAAGTCCAGAAGCATTGTAACACATGACGTAAAGCCAGTGACTGCAGGATAAAATGTGTCATAACCTGCCCAAGTGCGAATTAATTATACTACTGACTTGGTGACTTGTCAGACTCGCACTGTGATTAGTTTAGACAAGGATGAAACAACTACACAGCTGTTCTCGTCTTTTCAACGTAGACTTTCTTCCGTTCCAAGATGCAACCTCTTGAAATAGACCATTTTCCAGACAAACTATTGCAACGGCTGCCACCACACAGGAATTTCCGTAGTTGTGGGAAAAAATATCGCGTACGTAATGGGTGTGTCCAAGTTGTTGCTATTATACATTTCAATGAGCATTCTCGTAGAAGGCTGAAATTGGTTTTTTATCACGGGTGTCAGTAGCACGTGTGAGTACAAAACCTGAGAAAGTCTGATGTTACTTGAATTCACAATACAAAAGGTTGTAAGTATGGAATTTTCCCTAGTTTCCAGTTGACGGAATATGCTGCGGCGGATAATCGTTACTGATTGCGTAACCTGCAGTTTTCCACACGTGGAGTTTTGCAACTTTTTCTTAATATGTTGCAGTCGGACCAACATCCAAAAAGAAGAATCTTTCTTCCTTGGGTTTTTTGTGCTTTTGAGATGACATGAAATTCATGAAGGTAGGTGGGTTTTGGTATATTTTTTTGTGAGCCTCGTATAACAGCAATGCATGCAAAAGATCACCAATTCTGCTCACCAAACTTCAAGTTCAGTGCTTTTAGAAGTGGATTTGGAGGCATAATTGCATTCAACTGCGAAAATCTCACAAATTAGTCCGGTGAAATTTTTACAGAGCTTTTCCGCTTCATAATCTGGTGTTTCATTCTACACCAAGTGAAATCGCGGGCGGAAATCATCTTACGCCCGAAGGATGACGAAGCGTGAATAATTTAGGTCTACTTTGGTGGCGTAAAATAATTCCACAGCCCATTACTATTCGTACGATTGGCACATACTGACTAGATAATTGATTCAAGAGATGAACGTTGAATACCGGTCATTCTAAAGAAAGTAGTGCCTAGAACTAAATTACAGACACCGGGAAAAATAACTGCGCACTATACCAAAACGGCATTGAAGACAAAACCAAAACTCGACAACCCTGAGTATGGTCACTGGTCGGCGGTCACTTAGCTTGATGAGGCGATGTACCCTTCACATTACGCAGAAGACGAGTGTTGGTTTACAGGAACGCTTCAAAATCGACGTCAAGCCTAATGGGTTGTTTGCAATCAGGAAGAAAGTGTAATTGGATCCTGGGACCATTCTGAGGTTTGTAAATCGACTGCCTCTCTGACAGGTACAGTATTACGCAAAGCAGTGATTTTGACTGCCCAGCACCTAGGAAATAGACATTCACTATGATCCACAGCCACCTAGTAGCAACACTCAACGCGAAATAATGAGCATTCACAGAAATTCGGTATTCTTAATACAGTTGAATGTCGATAATTTGTGCACCCAGCACTAAAAGGACGAATGTGATCAGTCATAATGACGTTTTCCATAATTTTAACTGGATTTTTCAATCCGAGTTTATTTTAGAGAATCTTGTAATTGATACGTACTAATTTCATGAATTCGCCAGAAAAATCAGAATTCTACTGGATTTAAGTAACCGTTCTGCCTATTTTCTGGTCCCCTGGTGACGGAGATTTATCGCTCTGTTCAAAAAGCCAATAAATGTGTTGGTGATGAGATAGCGTTTCTAACACCAATAAGGTATTCCTCTGGGAACTAGAAACGTCTGCTAGCGGAGCATACACTCGTCACCCAAGTTGATATTTCACAAAATTCTGCATTTTAGCTGAACTCTAGCTAGTTGTGTGAAAAATTCGTTTTAAACGCTTACACAACTTGAAGCTTGAGAATGGGAAGTATGGTACATGTTTGCAAACCTCAGAGACATTACTCTTTTCCCAGTTTCATGTAAATGATCGAATCTAGGGCACCGCTAAGATCGGCTGTTGGTCGGCGCTGTTATGCTCAAACATTCCAAGTATTTTGACTATTCATTTCTGTTTTATTGACGGAAAATTTCTCCAAGATATTCTGACGTCATTGACTACTGATTCTGCAAAAAAATCAGCAGGGTTGACGAGAAAGTTATCTAAACGTTATCCTGTGTAACTGGTTCATAAACAGAAGTAGCTAGCAAACCTGAGGCAGGCACTTCCGCCTCAGTGATTGCTGAGTGATAGAAGTAGGCTACCTCTGTGAATATTAAAATTCGTTTACAAATTTGACTGGTAAAAACTCTAGAAGACTTCTTGCCAAATCGTGAAGACCATTATCCATTAGCTGATCACTACTGACATGGAAACCTGAAGCCCGTGAAAACGGTCTCACTGCACCTTCTTGGGTCAGCCAGTGTGCTATTCCTTCCAACGTAAGCTAGAAGTCCGTATGACCAGTGTTTCTGTGTATGAATCGGTGCAACACTTGTCAGAAAATTTTATCTCCACTGCACTTTACTTGTCAATCTCAATCTGTCAATTCTAATTGCAAATGCAATCATGACGCCTCACCGATGGATAAACAGATACTTTCTTTTAGAACCGCACACGTAGTAAGGGTATCCGGTTTATTCCGCTATGTTTACTCCTGATCTGACCAACGCTTCTGTCATATTATTGGACTGACAACAAAGTCCATTCGCCCGAGCTTCTCACGCACAAACTGACTGTATAAAACAGACAGAAGCTCAGAATCAACCAGTCGCAATCTTTAGTCGTGGCTTCACCCGGTTCGTGTTCGCACACCAAGCTCTCTCTCATTTGTTAACACTAACAATAATACGGCTGGTTTGGAAAGAGAATTTGTGCTTTAAATCAGAAGTTTCTGGCTGCTTTTGATGTGCCTACACTTAGCGTTCGCTTTTGATAGTCGGACCATGCCCGGTTCATTTAGTCTTATTTGAAAGGATGGGTTCTGAATTAGATCAAAACCTACCTAATTAACTGTCTAATCACTGTATTTTAGATTCAGTCGTAACTCTTTATCCACCCGCATACCAAAAATTTGGAAGTGTTATGCGGCTGGATGAGTACTTAAACAGTGTATTAGTTTGTTTTCATTACAGATGACTTTGCCATTTTAATGGGGAGCTCATACTGACATATTCTAGAAAACAGAAACAGTAAGCGCAGCTGTTTTAACTTTGTATGGCAAGTCAACGTTGTACGGTTCACTAACTTCTGGAGCGATTCGAGCGAACCAGGTTGATGTTGAATTCAAAGCAGTTCGGACACCAGTGGCTGACCAGCAGTCAGGACATAGGGTCATTCCCCCTTTAACCGTAGTATATACGCCATATGATTGCATGGTGATTAACTTCTCGGGTGATCATACCCAAGACTCACAAAACTTTCGAATTGTTTTCCCTTCCGAGCTACTCTTAGTTTGTTGATAGTATGAGAGGATTTAGCCTTTCTTTCCAATAAAAAAACGGTTTTAGAGTAAATAGAACAGCAAACACCATTGCCTGCCACTCATGCCCTTTTATGCACTTCAAATAGAACCAGTTCTTTGTTCACATAATTGGTATTCGGGCGCCACACTGGATTCAGTTCTGTTCCTCATAAGGCGTCGAAATGAACTGCTTCTGATGAATGCCGACATTCCGTCAATCATTTGGACTGGCACAAAAATGAGAGATTCGGTAGTTCATTTGACTCTGCTGCCATGCGAAGTGAGGGCGCACGCAAACCCTTCTTGATGGCAAATTTAAGGCATTAGTCAGGACAACTAGGTTGATGCAGAAGGCCTTTGGTTTGCCTGTATCACTGAACTAACCTTAAGTTAAAATCTTATTCGTAGGCCTCCGTGGAGAGGGCCTTACTAGCTTCCACCCACCCTTCATCATTTTCAGCTGAATCGGTAGCTCCAATCCAAAAGACGCAATGCTCCTTTTACTTGAGAATCATTGGTTGCAAGTTACTTTATGAGAAGCTGGGTTCAATAACCTCAAGGTACGCGGTGAGAGTCCTCTTACTAGTGATAGCCTAGGCAACCTTGCTTAATATTCCATGGTCTGTTGTTGAGGGAAACGATTGTGATGAGGAAGAATGCACCTGCATATTATGCCTTAGTGTAATGATGGTCTAACTAAGAGGCCAAACACTAACCGGTCGGTCACCGTTGGTCTATCACCAGCAGTGCAAGCAGGTATCGTCGATATGAAGTTGGTTAAAGTATGATTAGGCTTATGTGAGGCTACCATGCAATATTCTTTTCGTAAGCTTTCCGTATTCCATCCGAAAAATTGAACTAGTCATCCATCGAAGATGTCATGCATATTTTGGGCCCGGATATTCTTTCGCCAAAATTTTTAACGTCAAAATTCCGTCTCGGTAAGGATGTGACAGCGTTTTGTCCACTACGTCTAACACTTTGTTGGCTACTGTACTGTTTATGTACAAACACAATGAAATTAGCCTCGCAGTTTGCCTATGTAATTTGAGGGCTATTTAAAGAATGACATCATCGATCACACTATCCGGTTAAGTAAACTTTTGGCCATTCGTTTTAGGCTCATTTTCATTAAGTTCTGGATAACTGTGCACAAAAATGTAATCGCCACGGTTTATTTTGTGTGCTGGCACTCATAAGGATAGCAGGTGCAGTCTGTAGAAGTGTTTCAGACCGGGGTATCGTTCAACGTCCCCAACGTTTCTCGCCAAGATTCAGGGTCATAAAGAACGGACATTCAGTTGAGTTAAATGAATTGGAAGCTGCGTTGAGTTTTCCGGTATGGTGAAGAATGCAGCTGTGAGAAACTGGCAAATGATATCATTGCCCATGGTGGTTAATCAGGAGCCTTGCAAGCGAATTTCAGTGGAATCTATCCATATTCACTGGCATGGTATGCATGAACCTTCAAATGGTAGTCCTTTGTCCGGAGGGATTCAGGAATACGGCAGTATTGTTGTGGCTTGGCGGGACAGTGTTGGGCCATTAACACCTTTCAGAGAAGCGCGGTAAATAAGTGATCTGTATTAATCTGAGATTCGTGAAGCCATTTTTTGCGTGGCGACAACTTCATCCAGTTGCAGTGCAACACGGTGCATTTAGCAGGAAATTTTCCGTTACCAACGCCGTGCAACCCTGGTTTCAGACAACTATAAACAACCTAAGTTTGTTCAAAGATTTACATCCCCAGCCACTCGTCCAACAGAAACAGGCCTTTCCAACCTCCTGATGCCTTCACTTCGCCCTCAATTTTGTGCCTCTATTTAAAGGAAATACGTTCTACTTCATGAGGTCCAATGAGTAGTAGATATTCAAGAGCGTTCCGAACTTTAATTCTCATCGTCACTTTTTAGACATGTATGGTGACTAGGTTACTCACCTGCCCTCTCCACCAGTACTCTTTCGGTTCAACGGAAGAAAGCCTGGGAAACATGGACAAAGTAATACATGCCAATTTTGAGTGGGTCAAACAGGGTTTGAACTCACCGTATACATGCAGACGAAGTGAACTCATGTACGGATTACGTGGATCTGGTGTCAAGGATAGGTGATACCGGGGATCTATGCCTGGCAAGACTAGTTCCAGAGAATCGTTCTCGAACATAGCCGTATAATCATGTTCTGGCACGTAATCAGCGCCTGGAATATTTGGGTTTTTAAACAACGAATCTCTTTGTACAGTCGGACCAGGTCTGAACCGAACCGAGTCAGTTGATTCGGCCCCAGGTTTTGGCAGTCCCGGTGACATATCTGTTGAGTATCCTTCTGATAAGCGATCTTGCTTGATTTGTTTTGAGCCCGTTAGCAGATTGATCAACTCTGGCACCCCGTTCCCTCGCAAAAGACGTAAACGCAATCCTTGTGGGTTTGACAGACCTCCGAAAGCCTCACAGGCTAAAGTGGCGTTTTGACCGGGAAATCCGCTAGCTTGCAGTTGCGTTCCTGATTTAATAAATCTCGGACGGAGTACCACATCTGGAAAGACACTAAATTAGAGAACATGGGAAGTATTTGCGTGTCATGTATCAACTTGAGCAAAGACTAGTATCGTACAAATAAAAAGTATTGAACAAATGAGAGCATACGCGAGCACCAAAACTACGTTGAGACCTCTGTGTTTTCTTAAGGCATAGGAGAAAACGCACCTTGGCTGGAAGTAGACCACCTAATTCAAAATGCAACCTTAATGATGGGCTTCTGCAATACGTTGAAACAAAACCACCTTTTGTTTTTCCGCATGAAAGAGGGCCATAAGTTCTATTCACTATGGATACAGGGTATTGGTCCAACATCTATCTATTTTCAACGGTGCTTCTCACGTGGACATTAGTTGATAATTTATAGAAAAGACGGTCGGAAAGTGGCGTTCTGAAGTCATCCTAGTCAACTCAATCTATACTCCTTACTTTTGTACCCGTTTCCAGTTACTCTGCTTACCCATGGAGCAAACAGTTCGGTGTTATGGTCCAACTAATCTCGCCAGAATTAACTCCAGGAGATTATTGGTTGTTGATCAGGTGGCTGTTGATCTGTTCGCCGAGCTTGGCAATTGGCTTGCCAACGTTTCGTCACCCAACGAGGAGACATCATCAGTGCGCAGTTGGGTGAGTACTTCTTCCTTGCCTGCGTGTGTTTATATGGTAGTCAAAGGCTATCTGTTTTCTTTTGACGTGACTGTCTACTTGAAATGTAACGAATTTAGTGAATCTAATGGTCCGTTTGTGATCTTTGTTGCGTTGTGGTCTGTGTTCCTTTGTGTTGATTGGTAATCCCAACGGCTTCTAATTTTAGCAGCTTGTTTTCTATAGCCTTGATTCGCATTGCGTTGTGGTCTGCCGTTCTCGAGTTTGAATGGTTGCTTGTACCGTCCTATTTCCTCCACCGTGGCGGTTAGTGTTGATTGGTGATTGGTGATTTGGTTGATTTGGTGCTTTGATTGGGCACCTCCTCCAATCCAATTGATGTGTCCGTTTGAATGACGCTTTCCTGCTTCTCTTATGAGTTCCTCGTCTGGTCGCTTTTGCAGCTCTAAGCTCTGTAGTTCTGACGTTCTCTCGCTCTTAGTGGCTGGTAGATGGGGTCAGGTCCAGGAGATTACTTGCCTCAGCTAGTTCTCTGCTCGTTCTCTGTTGACCTTGTTCTATTGTACCTAGCAGACCTTGAGTTCATTTTGAATTGTGATGGTACATGGAATAAGGCGCATTCCGGACCAAACTTACACTACGTCGTGCCCGTCTGCTTTCCGCTTCTTTTTTATCTGTTTGCTATGTTTCTTTTCATGAGCAACCGCTAATATCTGTCTTCTCATTGCCTGAAACCCTAATATAACCTTTCAATCTGCTGTTTCCTCCCCGTACCACTCTCCCCAATTGGTAGTTTGATTAGTTGTTTCGATTAACCACATAAATGACCTTCTATCCACAGCTTCCAGATCTATTGGAATCAGTATGAGTTTAGTATCATCAACTTCATGGCCGGAAAGTCTGTCGGTCTAGGTTTGATCAGGACTGTCTCACCAAACGCTGGAATCTGAACTTCGGATTGCTTAGCAATAAGGAATGGTTGCTTCAAACGTCACATTAGTGTGCGCTTCCCAATTAGTTTGTTGCTCGCACATTTCCGGCTCCATGGAAAAACGTCAGAGTTTCACAGGTTACGGGCGATGGGCTCGCAAAAGAAAGGATGTTTGCTAAGGGAAACTTTCAATTATACAAGAAGTCCCATCATATTACAGACTAAAGCTAAGCATTTGCTGTCCCTATATGAGCTTATCGACAAACGGTTTCCTGGACGTTAGGAAAACCTTGATTAAAGCCTACCTAGCTAGACACTTAAGCCACCAGTGCCACCAACCAAGAGGCCTCGTGTTGAAGTTCTTCTCCCGCTTTATCTTCCAAGTCACCTTGCTGTGGGAATAACCACCTTTCTCAGGAAATGCCCAGTTGTCTTCCACAATAATTAGTTTGAGCAAGCCAGCAATTTTTACACATACAACCGATCACGTGCTCTCAGCGCTAGTCAATGGCATAACACAGTTGTGATCCACTCAAATCATTCTTGATTACATTGCTTAATCCAGAGTGGGCAGATTCCCGGCGTTCGTTGATGCGATTCTAATTTGTAAAAAACGCTCAACCCTTTATCCTTAGAGAATATTGACTACAAAAGCAGGCGTACCCTGAAACTGGCTTGACCTACGCCAAGTTATCTGCAAAGCCGTCCTGGTTTATCACTTGTTGATGAAGCCCGCTCGGTAAACATTCCATCTTTTACATCCACAATCGATGAAAGCTGATGAACTGTGAAGGTCCCAGGGACTATCCTTCTTGCTCTTCTAATCAAATATCTCAATCAAATCTAACGGTTTAGGTTTTTCGTGCAACAGATTTGGAGTATCCTTCTGTTTCTTGTACTTTAACTATGACACTGAACATGTATGTATGTATGAATGTTGCCATCTGTTGTGTTTTCAGATAACCATTCATCATTCAAGTGATGTCAGCGTAGACTGTGGAGCAGAGAAGTGTCGTACACCTGGACTGCACAAATATTCCACCATTCTCCGAACATGTTAGTTATAGAAAACATACAAATGTCAGCAGGCATGCAAGCCCGGCGTCTTCCTTCATTCTTTCAATTTACACTGATCGATGAGGTCTCAGAGTGACACTTTTGGATAAGGATCAGATCTAGCTAGTGGGACTTGTAGTTCATATTCACACTGAAATCATTTAGGGAGGAAATATATGAGAGATCACAAATATGCTTGTTAAAACGTGCAATGTATCAAAACTGCAGCTGGACACTGTACTCGATGATCCTAGACGTCAAGAGCCCGTATTCTAGCTGGAAGCTTTTATGGAGCTTGAAAATTTATGAGCGGTAGTAACCTTGTCCAATACGTCTATCGGAAGTTCCCTCTTTAAAAGGTATGCATAGCTCCATGCTTTACCTAAACACTGTATCGGTCCAAGCAAAACTTGCAAACCTTATATCTTGATGCGTGTAATTCTTAAATCCCAACTCAACAACGTTTGATATAATTTGTGGTTAAACGGAATTCTGAGTGCACATGTATCACGTCTCCAGAAGTGATCCAAATCTTATCTTCGTTCCGGTGGCTAGCTGCCAGGTTGCCCAAGCCCAGACAGGGGAAGTCGAGAGGTAGATGTCGGGTTCGAACCACAGACCTTTCGGTCAGTAACTTCGCGATCTAACCATTTGAGCCATCTCGCCTAGGTCTTACTTTAGAAAGTAGACAATTCAGGTTGTCCAACGTTTCAGCGACTTTTGCCATGGCATGGAAATTTTGGTTTGTGGGGTATCACGGCTCATCGAACTTGAAAGGTAATTTTTTTTGATCGACCTCAAGATTTTAGCGTGAACCTTAGTGTGAATATCGGGCATTGCGATGGTGCTGTAGCAAGTTCATCAACTTACAAAATCACCTCCACCGAGCCGTGTACTTTAATCAGACAAAACCTATTTAAATGCCCGTAAATCAATAAGGTTTTCAAGCTGCTAGAAACAAGCAGGAGGTATTGGTTATCCTAATTTCTGGTTTCCAAAATCCTGTCAATACATCCGAATTGACTTTCTGGTACATGGACGGGTTTTATCGGAGAGTCCACCAACTTCGTGCTTGCTGACCTTTCTCACTGGCACAAAAATCCACCGCATTGAGGACTTTGAGCACTACGCGCTTTTAATTTCACGTTACTTCTCAACTATCATCAAACGAAATCACACGAACAGAACATCTCCCTGATTGATTACGAAACCGCATTGAGACTTTGAGCACTACGCGCTTTTAATTTCACGTTACTTCTCAACTATCATCAAACGAAATCACACGAACAGAACATCTCCCTGATTGATTACGAATAACTTGTGTCACTGAGAAAAATAAAAGTATCGGTTTACCTTCCAACATCCGTGTAGTTGCCACTTCCTCCGAAATGACTGAGGTCCAACACGGCCAAGCATGTGTACCGGGTAGCATCTGATGGGCGCAATTCGTGTATCGTGAGGCGTGACACCGTAATCACAGGATCTCCAGTATCGTCTTTTCGCACATTGACAGCCAGCTCAAATCGATCCAACTGGTTTTGTTTCAGCTGTCCAGTATTCATATCACCCGGCATCGAAGATAGCGTGGGATTGCGTGTAGAATGTTTTTCCGTACCCGGTCCAGCAATCGACGGTAGGAGACGATCACCTTGAGCAATCATTATTCCCAACTGAGGTTGTACCTCCTCCAACGTTAAGTGTTGCAATGCCTCCCTTATTCGTTGATCAAAAGTAAAAGCCTTGGAATCAGTGAGGATATTTGTACCCATTCCACCTCGATACCATAACAATTGTGGGCTTGGTTTCCCCCTGGCCTGACATTCAAGAACCAACTGACCACCTTCCAGTGTTACTGGCCGTACCTTTCCAAACTGGGTTCCTGAGATTTGCTGGGGTTTGCCAAATGAATTTGCACGAGACTGCATATAGAACCGTGGGGTTTCGGTGTATGTTGTGTAACCGTTTGCACTCCGAACAGCTCTTTTCTTAAATGCGTACTGCTGTTGGTCATGAGTCTGTGGCACTGGGACTTCTTTTGGACTTCCTGGCAACATACGAGGTGGAGTGAAGACGATGCCGCGTATCGCTTGTAATTGAACCAGTACCGGGGACTCAACTACTCCGCTTTCAGAAGACGGTGGGTCTTGGATACTCGTCTCCAGAGACCATGTAGGATTCGGCGCCTCAGCTTTGCAAAGATAAATCCCAGAATGTCGGGAGTCAACTCGGTCCATCTGCAAGATCTGGGATAGGTGGAGATGAAAATAACAGAAACAAGTCATTTTTACATAGTTTAAGACGAGGAGTACGCATCGCCGTTCGTGTTTGGTATGCTTTCCACGTCAGACCAAAAAACCGTTTCCTCATTCCTGACATAAATTACTACACTTCTACCTTAGCTGACAAACAGCTGACAAACAGTGTGTAGGTATGTATTTATATGAATTGCATGGCCTTGGCACTTCCGGGGAAAATACTGGAAACAGAGCCTCATAGACAAACGAACGCGCGTTTATAACGCATATTTTTGACCATGTGGGTGCAATCTGTTTCCACGGAGACATGAATGGACGTACCCAATTAACGTTATTAGACTGATTTACGTGAAATATCACGTAATACTTGTTTTCATTAACTGGAACGTGGATCTGTCGCTTTCTGCGTCGATTTTTTAGCTGTCCTCAGTTGATGGCACTTAAGTGGAATAATGTTGTTCGCGAGCAGGCTAATCGATAAATGTAGATAAGTCACTTAAATCACATCTGACGTAAACCGTTTCCTAGTTCAACTTTACTCCTAGTGCCAACTAACTTCCACTCAACAGTCACTTTTCAGTCATACTGAATTGTTTTGGTTCCATGTGGTTTCGTTTTAACTGGCGCCTTCCTCTCTCAATGTTTCCTTTCGGAGAATATACCCCAAAACTATTAACCCAAATCAGCATGTTTTTACGAATGTACACTATGGAAAGCTCGGAGATTGTGCATCACTACCGTCGCTGTATAAGACCGAATGTGCATGTTTGCAAAAGTCACATGGAAAGCCGCATTTCAGGAGGCGTTGGCCGATGAGGCCGAACTGGAAGCACTGCTGCGCTTACTACGGTCACAAAGTACTCCCGGATGGTTGCCTGGATTTAGCAGGAGCAGACTAACTTGGCAAACGTTTTTTGGTATCAGACGATTCTCCCAGGGTAGTTGCTGTACAGTTCGATTGTTGCCGCTGATAGCCCGGTTTAGTGAACGGCTGGCACACAGTGGATGCTATGCCGAAATGCATGAACTGCACTTTAACTTGATTGAGATATCGGAGAGCTGTAGCATTATCAAAAAAACGATCAGGGTTTCCAACTCGTCTTATCATGCCTTGGTTGAGTTGATGAAGCGGACCTTCAGAAGGCTCTCACTCCACTCATACACTTCTCTCTGCATCGCACTACACGCCTGTTTGTTGACTTGAAGGGTGTTTCGCCTTCTCTTTTTACACGGAGCCTTCGCTTGGGGTCTTCCGTGGCCTTTGTGATGTATTGATCCTTCGAGCCGTGGTAATTATGCGGTCAGCCTCGAAAGGGCGCTTGTTTGTGTTATGTGAAATCCTGATGGCGCACAGAGAAGTCTTGGTTGAAGATGCATTCAGCCATGTTTTACCACACAGTACAGTCGTGCTGGAAAGAGTTTGCCGACGTTCGAAACGGTAGTGCTTGTGTAACTTAGGAAATGGAAAGAAGATAGTTTGACACCGAAGAGCTGCAGATGTCCCAAGTAGACCCAAACGGATTGAGTGGCAGTGATTGTCACGTGAGACATTTGGTTGCGTTGATTGCCGTGATCAACTTCACGCCCATTAGCTATTCTCCCAAACATACATATCCTCATTTTGTTAAAACATAAATATTCAAGGATCTTCTATGAGCGCAAGCACCCTTTTTTTTCTTTCCGATGTACCCTTCTGGGTGGGTGGCTGCATCGTATCAGGTGCTAAATTTAATGAAAATACCAATAACTTTCTGATCGTAGTCAGCACGGAAATAAGTAGCTAGGTGGAGACCCGATCCAAATTTCACTCCTCGCGAACAAATTGTTACGAGCAGTTAGGAAGTGTGGCACGTATGTTCAAATTTTATACGTGGATTCAAAGTATTCATATATGCACGAACTTCTACGAAAACCATTAGCCTATGAAAACCATTGCAAACTGACTTCTTCCTTCTTGATAGCAGCATTGGAAGGTGAGTAGAAATCAGTTTGAATCTGCAATAACGGCTGTAAATTATTCAGCAAAACGTTTTGTCGCAGACAAATAGTTTCAAAGTATACCTATCAGGGTAATAGCAGTCACCGAGGAATCCAATTTGCGGTTCGGGTTTGTGAGGAATTTCACAAAAAACAACTTCTGTCACACTCGAAAGAGCTCCTCTACGTGGTTCATTGGTCCTTGGTCCTATTTCGCGCACCCTTAAATTTGTTGAGCGGGGACATTATTTTGCTATCAGCTTTGGAATCTCCGGCTTGACTTGCGTCAATCATCAGGCTAAGCCATAGCTAGTTCACAGGATACCACCTGAACAACAAGGTACTGTTCACCACCGGCTGCCTTATGACCTTATCGAGAAACCAGAAATGAATTAACTGTAAAGCATGAACGTACGTATTAGCTTCTTGTGATAAGTACAGAAAGTCCCATGCATAGGGCTGGGACGAATCAGAATCAGAAAGTAGCAACAGATAAACGCACGGAACAGAGATAGCACGACATAATGTCAAATATAAGGATTCCTCAGAATGGCTGTGAGGGCGACAATTGTCAGTAGCCAATACGACCTCAAATATAAACTGAAGGACAAGTAATGCAAAACAAGGCTTAGTGTATGGACTGAAAACCCTTCGGTTCAATGATATTTCACCAACTGAAGTAAGGTTTTTGTCGGTCTTCCCCAATGAATTCACAAAGGAGCTGTTGCCAAAACATATTCTTGCCAAATCTGTTTGGAAGAACAGTCCGTTATTGTTGCCGATGTTTCGCCCCCATACCATCATCATTTATTTGAAACCCTTGTTGCAAATGAAAGAATGGAAGAGGGATGGAAAGGGATACAGTGCTATCTTGCGAAAAGCAATCCAAGGCGTCCACGCCTAGAGACACTTATTCAGCAAACGTGAATACAAACTGACAACAAGAACGTCACCGGCATCCATTAGCAGTCGTATATTGAAGCGCCTCTAACCAAGCGAAGTGGGGATCACGGAATCTCCATCCTGAATGGTGAGTGGCACCGACAGCACCCCAAACATTTCATACTCCATTACCCTCCCAACAGTTAACCACCTCTCTGCTTCCGCCACTCTGAATTGGTTTGCTGGTTTGCGTTTTTAATTTCTTCAACTAGGTCAGATACCCTGATGACATAATGATTAACTAAACCCACTACGTGCCTTAAGCACATCCTCAGCTACAAGCTTCGTCGTTTTGAAGGTTTCTCCAATCAGGATATCTCCATCAACAAATATCTAGATATGGCTCCGCTCACCAAACTCAAATGGTCCCACTTACCTAAAAAACTTGTAGTGGATTTCGACGCCTTGCTTTTCATATTGTGACCGAGACCTCTTTCTGTTTTGCACTACCGGTCACTCATCAAGGTCATATATATCTCTTACAATCATTGTGTGTCCGTACATATAACCGCCAGTTTGTAGTGTTTTTTTTATACCCCACTTGGCTGTTTTTCTAACTGGTCCCACTTCCCCGCGTAATAATGTCACATTTTGTTCGCTAGTGTAAAATCTCTATTAACTTACATTTTGGAGTCAAGTGAAACTTTTTCATTGTTTACATGTGAAACCGTTAAATATAAATATGCTGAAAATCCACCATTCGGTACACGAATCTTGGACCGAACTGAATTGACCTACAAACACAAGCAACATGCGACGAATGAATCCCACATGTCCACTAGATCACACCAAAATCAGACAATATCACCTCAACTTCAGCTTTTGTCGTCTGATTGCGCAACTCAGCAAAAAAGCAGTGGCCATAGAGACAAACTGGACTATCGAAATTCTTTTCATAGTTTATTTTGCAGTATAGTTCACCAGAAAGCAGATAACTGACACAGACAGTTTCACTGTTATCCACCGACGACAGATTGTCGTTAACATCCTGCTGCGCATTAGAATCTAGCTGAAGTCTGCCAATGTGGAGGATGAATTTATCCAAGCGGAAGGAGAAGTCAGATTGCTAGGCAGCTTTCCAACCGGCGCACATGATTTGGAATGATTTAGTTATGCGAATTAACCCGTCATTCTAGTTTGCATTATCCAGCTGAACACACGGGAGACAAATCACTAACGAAAAGCTTTAGTTGGTGCTGCTTCTAACGGAGAGGTTGCAAAACAGAGCAGCATGTCATCAATTCACTTGAACCAATCACTGGCTCCAACTGGAGCAAAGGATGTAGGAAATTAGTGTTACTAAAACAACCCAGTTTTCCACATAAATAAAACAAACTTTCAATATATTGTAACTTATTTCCACTAACATTTTGTTAAGGTGATTCGTCGTTGATTTGTAACTCAAATAACAGTTTTATTGTAGTTTGCTTTTACCAGTGATTCCGAACAAGCCGGTGGGACGATAGATCACTTTTCAGATTTGTGACTTACCCACACGCTAGTGCATTCACTCTATTAACTCATTGTTGATAGCTAAAATTGCAGCCGAGGTTGACTTGGAGTAAAACAGTCAAAACCGACCGGTAGTACACAGCTAAGGCCTGAAATTAAAGAAGATATTGTGCTAATATTGGAAAGATAGTCATAAAAATTCTGGTTTCTTCATACAGGAAAACAAGGTAAGCCATTTTGCTTGAATCCTGCCCAGGTAGGTATACTGCATCACCATCCGACGTCAATCACGGTATTATTGGAAATCAGATGAGTCATGTCATGGCTACTCACCCTGCTATGCAGGAAATATCACAAAGCTTAGTTCTAAACTGCAGTTATCTGTTTTTTGGGTGTCCACCATCTGGACCAAATAGCTCATACAGCTTTGAACTTCGGTTTTTGACGAGAAATTCTTTTTTGATGGCCGTTACTGGGAGCAGCATACCACATGCGAAACTAATTTCAAATGGAAAGGAATGTGAGTGACAGCGAAATCTGCGGCAGTCTGACTTTGTGAACTTTGAAAGACGTTGCGGTCGATTTTGAGGAACAAATTTGAACCAGTGAGTGAGCAA